CAAATATGCTTACGACAGTCTTAAGGGCCATACACCAAATAAAAGTGCATACATTTCACAATCTCCCAGGGCCATAGTCATGCTTGGGAGGAGGCTGGTGTAATAAGTGGGGGGATGTGATTAACAATGGCTTCTTATGCCAATGAAGTGTTATTGTGTTCTAATACAGGGATTCAAGCTCCCATTCTACCCTTAGGCAATAATGGAGTCCTCTGTGAAGCACATGGCCTTTCACCAGGCAAAATCAGTTGGGTTGTTGATAAACTCCTCCTCCATTCCCTTCCAGTGCAATACCCCTTCCCCCAGGAGGCACTCTGGTTCTGTTACATCCTAAGGGATTGACTGAGGGAGGTGTGTCCAGCAGAAGGAGGGACTAACCTGTTTAAAGCCCTGTGAATAGCACATTTTCTCTCTTTGAATTACCTCTCTTCACCTTCTCTCTCCTCTCTCCCCTCTCCCCACTATATACACCCTCTCTCTCTTACTCTCAGCTGCTGATCAATGGAGTGGTAACTGTATCACGTGTCTATGCCTGTTTTATTATGTTAATTTAGCCTACTTTCCATTCAGTCAATGTTAGTTTTAGTAGCAACATATACTAGCCTATTTTAAATGTATATGTATTGTTTATTTGTTTGATTAAGCCTTTATTAATAAATATTATTGAATTGCCGAAAGCAAGGAGTGTGGACTCTGACTTTACACTCGGTTTTTAAGTTATTATTTTAAGTTATTATTTTTAGTTATTAATGTTATTATTAATTCCAAGTTTATTCCAACTTGCGAGTTAAACGTTTATTACATTTGGCGAGCCATGTTATTATTTTCTACCACCTTTTAAGCTCATTTGCAAGGGGGGAACAATCCAATCTTCTCCAGATACATGTGAGCTATAAAAGGGGACAAAATAACCGAACCAATTTTTGTTTTATTTTTTGTGAGCGTTTTCGGCAATACGTCCAGGGCCAGGACGTGCGGGATCCTACAGAGGCAACCAGAGTGAGACGCAGTTTGTAAGCCGGCCATCACTTCTGGAGGATCGGAGATAGCCAGACCAAGGATTCAAAGTGGGGTGCACACCATTTGATTTGCCTGCAGTCTGAAGACACAAATCGTGTAAGTACTTTTAGCTTTATTTTAAGAATGGAAATTGTAGCAGAATATGCAGCGTCTAGCAGTTTTGATCCACTAATGTTTGAAAATGAATTTAAGAAAATGCATAGCATGTGGTTACAATGCGAAAAAGAGAACATGAGAGTAGATAATAAAAAATGGTGTTTGAATAAGGATAAACAGAAAATCAAAAATTGCATGAAATTGTTACTGTTATTAAGAAATCAATTAAATCGGATACTTCTGGGGCACACTACTGTGGCTTGTATACAAAGTAGTACTCAGAAATATAGTGATTGTCCAACTTGTGGCTTAAATGCAGAATATGTAAGTACATTAAAGGACAATTATGAAGCGAGAGGAGAGCTAATTTCATCACTTAGAACAGGTTTAGCTGCACAAACCCCAGTTGCTGTATGTGGCCATGGGGATGTGTGTGCAGAGGAAGAAGAGGCATCTGGTATTGAAGGAAATGAGGACCAAGGGGTAAACAGGGGAAACCTTGTACTGGATGGGTTTGATATTAGTGGTATTCCTGTATTAACCCCCCATATAACTAAACCAACAGCATCACCTTTTAGGGACCCTTTGTCCATTACACCAAGTGTTAAAAGCAGGGCATCTGCCACCCTGCAGACTAGTAAAATTCTACAGCAACAAGATAGGGATAAAGTAATGAAACAGCTTGTTAAGTTAAGATCCCTTTTCCCCCATATGACTGCAAAATAGATGTAATTTCAAACATGTCCAACTTTGAATCTGCAGTCAAACAATATATGCTCTCTCCTAAAGAGGCATGTATTATGCTTAAAATGTGGGCACCAAGCAGCATTGCATGCAGATTAAATTCCCCCATAAATGGGCCCATTAATCGGGATCAAGACTGGTTCAAAGAGGACAAATGGGGGACAGAAGGAGACAGGCTTAGAGCAATCTCCAAATTGATTACCGGAGAAAGAGATTTAGACAGTCATTTACTCGCTGAAATGAAGGTACACTTACAGGATGATCCTTGGCTTTTTGCATCTAAATTTGAACAAGTGTACAGATTAACCCACCATATACCACAAGACCAAACCCCTCCTGATTTACTGCAATACCTGATAAAAAAATTCACTTATTTAGATCCCGGAGTGCAAATGATAGCAGAGGAAAAAGACACTCTGGAAGGAGTTCTAACTATTATAGGAAAAGCTAGACAAAATTTAATTAGGAAAGGTGTTACATTACACCACAAGGTGGCAATTATGGCTACTAATGAAGGGAGGCAAGCTCTCCCAGAGATTCCATTCAGAGGTACTTGTTATTATTGCAACAAAAGTGGTCATAGACAAAAAGATTGTAGAAAGGCAAAGATAGATCAAAGGATGACTGAGGGATGGCATGCTTATCCCTCTGGGCCTTTCAAAGAAAGAATAGGTCAAAATGTATATGAAAAGATTGACCGAAATGAACCCCCGGATAAAACAGGTCAGGGACGCCATTCTCACCCCCTGCCTAAGACCAATCTATACGGTCCTGCACAGGAGGCTCTGAGAATGATGACTGTACAGGGAACAGTGACTAGCAATTCTAAAATGAATGAAGAGGGTGAAGTTCCTCTGATTTCATTTTTGGAATAACTATAACTGGATGGCATGGTTCCTATTTGTAACACATTTATGGACCATGCAGGACGCCCTTACGTGAATGAAATTATGGCAAGGCAACAGACTAAGAATTGGACTAACACAGGAGCTTCAGTGAGACTTACTGACCTATCACTAAGTCTCCCTTCTGGGGCAAAACAATAACATATGAATTTATTAATGGAATTATTTTTTTTTACTTAATTGCATAATGCTGGTGTCAAGCTAAACACTTCAAAGGTTGCTCACACAAAAGGTAAAATTTTTGGGAGTAGCTATCACAGCTGCCCAATTAAAGAGTGAAAGCAATCTTACAAGTCCCCAGACCTTTTAACAAACAATCCTTGAAGAATTTTTTTGGTACTTGTACATTTTTCAAAGGAATTTGGCACACGCCCTATTTGTATCAATAGTGACATTGCTTATGCCACCAGATCAAACCATCTGTCCAAATGGAATCTTGGGAAACTGGTTGGATGGGGACTAAAGCACCCCCTCCAGTCAGCAGTAAACACTCATTCAAAGGTACAATTGAATTTGTTAGCAAAGGATAGATGGAGATCAATGGCATTTACATGTAAAAGACCCTGAGGTACAGCATGGGAGGAGCACTTCACATGCAAAGAACTAATTACGGATAGCCAAGATTGTTGATCAAGGTTCAGAAGTGCCAGATTTAAAAGCAGAACTGAATAGGAATCCTAATCTTTCTCTTTTATTACAGAACCATCAAACACTTCAAGTGGTTATTCTATAAAAGAAGGGTTGTTATGTTAAATTATATCCATGCCCTAAGCAACAAAGGCCTGTGCATCAGAGAGTGCCAGTTTCAGACAGCCCCTGGAAGTCAATACAGAATGATTTCATAGGTGCACTTACACTGTCCAAGGGGGGTCTCATATATGGCCCCAACAAATTGTAAAATTGTATATACTTCTCAAACTCTGTTTGAGAAAGGGGGGGGGATAGGCGTAATAAAGATTAAACATTTTATCAAAATTATCCCTGGGATGCAAATTGGGAAGAGCCCTATGTAATCACATAAGTCAGTCCATGTAGACCAACGTAAATTATATAAAGGGGCTTGTTCCCCAGGTACAGAGTTATCTGCTAAGAACTGATACGCCTTCTTGATCTCTTACAGATTTTTCCAAAAGTACCAAGACATGGATGTTACTCAACATGCTAAAACTCACCTGGAAATTGATGGAACAGCTTATCACAGGCCAAAGCAACAACAGCTGTATCTATGCAAATGCAGTGCCAAAGACTTAACAGAGGACAGCAGTGACAATCTACAAGTTCCATATGTAGCTGTGACATTTAATTTTGGGTGGGCGGTCAAGATTGTTTGGCTAAAGCAACGTGATTCTTTCAAGGGATTTTTGAAAAGACAATAAGGGAAATTAAGAACATTGGGAATGAATATGGACTGGTTGTGGAAAATTGGTTGTAGATATGGAGGGAGGAAATATTAATATGAAATGAAATGTTATGAAATGTTACTAACCCTAGTTATAATGTTAACAGCAATCTTAGAGAGTATCATATAACACTAATTATAGTGGATACATTAATTTTAAAGGGGATACATTGGGGAACAGTAGGACACAATAGGGGTGGGGAAGTGAAGGTCTTGTTGAATGTAGAGGATGAGATAGAGCTTACAATCCTGACTCCTCCTTTCACCTATATTCATACAACTCCTTCACTAATGGATAATGGGAGCAGACCTGAGTGTCAGAAGATTAGAGTGGTCTCTAGTGGTATTTTCCAAATATGTTCACTGAGACCTACCCCTATAGTCAGGAATATTACTTTCCAATTGATTCGATTAACAGATTGACTAGTTTCATCAAACTTTCAGAACTGTTCTAGGGTCACATCCACTATTAATAAGGTTTTAGTCAGATGGGTGACAAGAAGTAGAACTAGGAATAGGAGGGTTGTCTTGGGTACGGTTCTGGGAGGTGTGGGTACTGGGTTGGGTTTTGTAAATATAATTGATATATATATATATATATAGTATGACTGCAACACTCCAGTCTGAGGGTGTTAAATTCAGAGAACTATCAATACTTTAATGGAGGATTGGACACAGAAGGATCAACAAACCTGTGCTGAGTTCTTTCATCAACAACAAGAACTTTAACTAACTGAACATTTATTTACTGACATGGCTAGTACTACCTGGTGGAAGAAATAAAAAAAAACTCACTTCCGAAACCAATCATGGAAATCAGGTACTGCCATGGAAAATGTATTAATTCACCCATTTATTATTGTATTGTGTGTTTTCTATAGTATGCATTTTTAATCAGGTTGGTATGTGTTGTTACTTGAAGTCATTGATTGTTAGAGTATATCATCTCCAATATGATATGTAAATGGAAAGAGCTCTATTGTGACAATGGGTTGTGCATTCACATAAGTAGATACACTGCAGGATGCATTATCTCTCTTCTCTTATCTTTGGTGGGTTTTATAGAGTATAAGTGTCTCATCCACTTCATTGCCAATAGGAGGGATGTAATAAGTGGGGGGATGTGATTAACAGCCAAACTGTATGCCAATGAAGTGTTATTGTGTTCTAATACAGGGATTCAAGCCCCCATTCTACCCTTAGGCAATAATGGAGTCCTCTGTGAAGCACATGGCCTTTCACCAGGCAAAATCAGTTGGGTTGTTGATAAACTCCTCCTCCATTCCCTTCCAGTGCAATACCCCTTCCCCCAGGAGGCACTCTGGTTCTGTTACATCCTAAGGGATTGACTGAGGGAGGTGTGTCCAGCAGAAGGAGGGACTAACCTGTTTAAAGCCCTGTGAATAGCACATTTTCTCTCTTTGAATTACCTCTCTTCACCTTCTCTCTCCTCTCTCCCCTCTCCCCACTATACACACCCTCTCTCTCTTACTTTCAGCTGCTGATCAATGGAGTGGTAACTGTATCACGTGTCTATGCCTGTTTTATTATGTTAATTTAGCCTACTTTCCATTCAGTCAATGTTAGTTTTAGTAGCAACATATACTAGCCTATTTTAAATGTATATGTATTGTTTATTTGTTTGATTAAGCCTTTATTAATAAATATTATTGAATTGCCGAAAGCAAGGAGTGTGGACTCTGACTTTACACTCGGTTTTTAAGTTATTATTTTAAGTTATTATTTTTAGTTATTAATTATATTATTAATTCCAAGTTTATTCCAACTTGCGAGTTAAACGTTTATTACAGCTGGCAAAGAGGCTTCTCCACAACCCAGGGAAACAGGGCAATTTGCCTTTTAAAGGGCCCGTTACAAATAGCAGTTTGTAACAAGGTGTCAATCCATATCTGCCAAGTGACCCGATGTAGGGGGAACAGTCCCTATTCTGCTCTGTGTCAGTGTGTATCAGGGATCCTTAGGACAGGTGTCAATCCATATCTGCCAAGTGACCCTATGTAGGGGGACCAGTCTCTATTCTGCTCTGTGTCCCTGTGCATCAGGGGCTCTGAGGACAGGTGTCAATCCATATGTCAAGGTGTCAATATGTCATATGTCAGGTGTCAATCCATATTGATTGTGATTTAGGAATGTTAGGTGATTTCTGCCCTTTATGGATTAAAACCAGACTCTGTATCAACTGTGTAATTTTCCATGGGAGTTTTGCCATGGATCCCCCTCCGGCATGCCACAGTCCAGGTGTTAGTCCCCTGAAACAACTTTTCCATCCCTATTGTGGCCAGAAAGAGTCCCTGTGTGTTTTAAAATTCGCCTCCCCATTGAAGTCAATGGCGTTTCGGGCGGTTCGCCGGTTCGCGAACATTTGCGGAAGTTCGCGTTCGCCGTTCGCGAACCGAAAATTTCGGGTTCGCGACATCACTAATCAGATGGCTACTAAAGGTGCTTCTTGGGGCAGTGCTGAATGCAGACACTGAACTCTCCTGATAGAGATGCATTGATTCAATTCATGTCTATGAGGAGATGCTGATTGGCCAGGGCTGTGTTTGACTTGTGCTGGCTCTGCCCTGATCTGCCTCCTTGACAGTCAGTCCTAAGGGGGAGGAATATGACTGGCTCAGACCACCACTTCTGATGATGTCAGAAGCAGGCAGAGCCAGCAGCTGTAGACTTTGATACAAGTAAGATTTTACTATATTTAGGCAGGCAAGGGGGATAGATAGTGGTTTTAACACTATAGGATCAGGAATACATGTTTGTGCTCCAGACCCTATAGTGTTTATTTAAAAATGAAGATACTGCATGTTTTTCTTATGCTCCAAAATCAATATTTGTATTCACACACACACACAAACAAAGGCAATGCTTCTACCAAGCTGAATACAAACTTTTTGAAAGACGGTAAACGATTGCCAAATCCTTAATTTTAATAGTGTTTAAGTCCCATAATCAAAGCAATTATACTATTGCTATGTAAATGTTCTATGTAATTATTAAGGGTATATATATCCTTAAAGGATCATATACTGTAACTAAACTCCCATTAAACCCCCATTATCTGTGCCTATATTATGTGGTTTAAAAAAACACAAAACAAAACTAATGCAATCTGTGAGCTTTGAAGTTGCTGTTTAGTGGATGAGTGAGTGCGCTGGATCTTGTGTAATATATATAGATAGATAGATAGAGATCCGGCAGGGTCGAAACTTCGATTGATTTCTGTATGTAATCTATTCATTAATAAAACACAATTTTCACCTATTTGAAGACCTGTGAGTGCATCCTGGAATTCTTTTTTTTATATTTTGGACGGCAGTGGATCAGTACCCAGGCAAGATTCTTTGTTATAATTTTGTAAGGAGAGTGCCAAGCAACCACATTTATTATATATTTATTTAGAGTTCGGCAGGATGTTCAGTTTATTATGCATTGCAGTGGTTGTACATTATGAATAATTGCTTTTTGTCCGTATTCCAAAATGTTGTATCCATAGTTTAGCTGCAAGGCAGTTTTAAAGATATGCACTTTCTGTCCCTGATTTCCACTGCTAAGAGAGAAAAAAGAATGATTCCTTATACAAACTTGTATCACATTTTCTTAAAAGAGAGGATTGCCTATTTTTCTTACACATGGAAAGTTATAACTACATGTGGGCTACCTCACGTTCTCATCTCTATTTCTGACATACTTTGCTGGATTTTGACAGGATGCAGCTGTCTAAGCAGTTACACCCTCTCTCTATATATTCAATTGTATCAGTTCTCCAGATAACATTACTGAAAATAAATCTCCACCCTCATTGACATCTTACTCAGCAATAACTGAATGCTAATGGTAAAGATACAGACTCCAGGTAAAGAAAACATCGAGAGCAAGAAAACTCAAATATATGTAAAAACTATTAAATGAAACAAAAAACGATGAAAGAATCTGTGACTTGATTGTCAAGTGCTGCAACCCTAATGAAAATGTGTGTGTGTGTGTGTGTATTTATGTATGTATGTATGTAAAGTCATAGCAAAGTTGCATTTGACTATTTGGCTTAGTTGCATAAAATTGGTATATAAAGGAGATATAGGACACATAGGAGACAAAGAAGGCCCACTTGCGTTTTTTTTTTTTTTTTTTAGTTTTTAGGCTCTTTGGTAACTTTTTGGCACAGTGATCCTTTGTTTTACCTAGTTTATCTAGAGATTATGATTATACTTTTATGAATTTTCAATGATACTGCATGCTACTCTTTGCTAATATATGCCTTTGTATGCCATTATTTGCGGATATATTTTGTACTATTTTATGGACTATTTTATATGAAAACATATTTTCTGCTCATGTAATCAGCCATAATTGGATTAAATCTCTATGATATTACATATGATTGTATTATATAGTATTAACATAATTTTTTTCATTTCTCTATTTATTTATTTTTAAAGATCGGTATCAAAACGCTTCTTACACCTTTCATTTTATTTTTTTTTATTTTTTTTGGTGTATCCTTCTATGTTTTTTCTTGACCACATTTGGTTGCCAATGCCATGGTTGCCCCTGATGAATTTTCTTAAGCCGGTCCTTCAGCTTTTAGTTGCCCATTCTTATGATGCTTTACGCTTCTGTGTCTTTGAACGCTGTGCCGTGCCAAGTTTTTTTAGTTACTCCTTTTCATAGGTACTTTTCCTCTCTCAATTTTTGTATATATGCAGTGACATCATCACATGTTTTGATGCCAGTGTGTCTGACGTCATCATGCTTCAGGCTTGGCTCTGCCTCTGGCAACTCTGGCTTTAATTTCGGCCAATTTGAAAACCACAGTACGTAATCTGAAATGATTTGTGTTGATTATGTCTCCTATATATACTAATTTTATGCACAGTGGTGTTAGCTTGAAAATACTTCACTTTAAGGTGAAATGTTGCTACTTGTATCATACACTAGTATTCATCATACACTAGTCTCCAATATCTGCTTTGTGAGTCACCCCTGAGTGTCTGGACCATTTCTGCTATATTACTAGTCCTACACTACTAGGCCAGGCCTTAGAATTTACTGTCTGCTGCAATCCTGGAGGGTCTAGAACACATATCAAGGTTGGATTTCTACTTGCCAGGGTAGAATTATCACTAGCCAATATTGTGGAAAATTCTGCTATAGAATTATATTTTTTTTCTTACAAATGTATGTAGTGAGTTAGTGAGACCTATTTTTCTAATGTGCAATATACAAATATTTTACTGAAAACAATTAAATGTAAAATACACGGTTAATGTGTTTGCATTCAGTAAAAGGGAACATTGCTATCTTGTGACATATATAAAACTATTCACACTACATAACGCCAATAAAATTATTAACAGCTATTGGTTCTCATCCAGTTTTCAAAAATTGGATTATTTTGTTAATATTGGTAGAATAAGTACAATAAAATGCAATTCTTAGGAGCATAGTTCATTAAATACCAAGTAGAATTCCTATCATTGCTAACAAAATCTTGTATTTAGAAAGTCACTTGAAGGAGAGTTGAATAAGAATTAGAATATTTTTCCTGTTCCTCCAAAAATTAATAGTTTGAAAGTAAGCAAAAAAAAAAAAAAAAAGTTGGTATATTCCAGATGTCAAGGTGTTTGGATATGTCAGTTCTGTTTTGGTTTTTTCTACATTCATGAAAATGTCTGGAGTATGCCCAAAGCTAAATTTCAGATTAAAATTTAGTATAAGAGGGATTGGGGAAATGTATGAAGATTGAAAAATGCAAAAAAAAATCTTAGATGTAAATTATCTGTTGGAGCTACAGACTGTGTGAACCAGCCTAAATGACTTAAACATGTTGAAGAGAAATTGTAAAACCTAAGGAACTGCAGTCATTATTTCCTATAACATTGAAATACTGTGAAAAGTACAGTGAGAATGTTTAATGTTGGAGTTAGAAGAAGTAACAGAGTTAAAAATAGAGAGCGTGAAGAAAGAGAGAAAGTTGAAATGGATTTTATTTTAAAAATATAAATGTATTGATCTATTAAACTGAAATAGGCGCAGCAAAGAACTTGCGGTTATTTGTTTATGAAGCA